TATTTCCTACATTCTTATCCCGAGCAAAACTCTTTGGTCAAGTATCACACTTTACCGAGCTTGTAGGTCGGTAAAGGTTGTTGTTTGTTAACACTTTGACTTCAAAAGCGCCGAGTGGCTCTCCGATAACCTGCTCGTGAGTCCAGCTGATATTTGCGAACAATGGGAAAGGAATTTGACCGCTCGTTTTCAGTAGACGTTCGTGGGGCCAGAACGCCTGACGAACCCCCGGAAACGTTTGCGAGGGAGGCCATGGTTTCAGTGACGTAAGATAATTGCAGCAGAGCCGTAGTTTTATCCTGTATTGATCATGCGAGGCTAAAGAAGACTCTAACGAACCTAACTGAAAAACAACAATACAAAGCAAAAACAAAACAAAAAAAATGGTCATAATACTTGTCTTAACTTCATGTTATATCCAATGACTGAAAAAGTATCTAAAGTAAAACGTTATAATACGCCACTTAAGAAATGAGAATGAAATTGAACCCAAGTCATCTTTTGCAAAGACTGTTACCAGGGACAGGCATGGATATCCATGGGACAGGGAAGAAAGATGGCCAATAGCTGATTCCCAGTAAGGATCCCAGAGACAATTGCGGGACGCGTATGAATTCCACTTCTCTGCTCGTTTCTAAATTGCCGAATTCTCTTTAGGTTACCTAGGGAGTCGAACACCAGTTTTCTGTGGTTTTCTTCTGAAGCCATCTGTCAAGATTCGTGGCCATTTCTTTTTAAACTGCATTTTTTTCGCTTCGTTTTATTATTGTTGCCTTGTCTTACAGTTCTTGCCTTTTTTAATACAGCGAACTAGAGAACAGAGCTCAGTTGCTTGAAAAAGATCTTTATTATTACAAGAAGACGAGTCGAGATTTGAAAAAGAAATTACGTGAGAAAATGGCAGCAGGGACTGGCGCTAGTATTGAGTCGGATGTCGTGGCCAGCGGTGAACTTGAACCTCAGTACGGGACCATTGATGCGCATGGCAGGCAGTTAGCCACTGAAGTGTCCCGGATGAAGGTAGGTTGTGAGAGTTTTCGATTAGTCGTGAAGAGTGTATCAACACCTTGTTAGACAGTTTTGAATGTTGTTTGATCAGCTTTGAAGGAATTTCACTCGAAACCATTCAGTCACATCTTTGATAATGGTGGACCAACACCGTTGGATGTTGGACCAGTATCGTTGGATCCTTTTCAACGGTAGCTAAGTAATTACACAGTTCGTCCATGGACGAGTTACTGTGGCGAGGCTTAATCGTTGATGGTGATTTTGATATTTTATAGCAATCTCTTGCTGACAAGGGAGTAGGCGCTCCATCCCAGGCCTCTACGCCCGTTAGGGTGTCTCGAAGGGATCTTCGTCAGTTAAGGTATTATCAAATTTTAATGCTTTTACTGTTGTTTAATTTAAACCAAATATCATTAACTGTTAGAAGCTAAGTGATAAATGTTGAGCAATAGATTCCTTCGTATAGACTTCAAGTTAACCGCGTGTTGTCCAGACAAAATTATGTTATTCCCAACTTGCTTAGACATATTGATATTTACAGTGGCATTCCAACTTTTCGAATACTCGATTTTTTGAAACCCCCCGATTTTTCGTACAAACGTCATGCGTTCCGCTTGGATTTGCTTCGGTCAGACGCTACAAGTTTACCCCCAATTTTCCGATCCCTCGCTTTTTGTATTGTTTCGAAATAATCTTGCTTCCTTTCAATAATTTAAATTTGATTTCTCGAACTTTGAAAATTCAGGAACCAACAAGAACCAGTTTTGGCCACATGCACTCCTGGATAAGTATTCAGCACGTTCTGGGGAAGGTGTTTTCCTGTAGTTTTTAGTACAAAGCAAGAACAAATTTGTCATTTGTCACTTGCAGTAGTTCTACAGAGTTGCTGTCTGCGGCCTTCTTGGTTTTTGTAAAATAGTACTATCCTAAAACAGGTGTGATTCGATGCCACCTTCTATTTTTCGAACCAATTGCAATTTCCCTGCGAAGTTCGAAAAAGCGGGATTCCATTGTAGTTTATTTACTTATTTATTCATATATTTATCAGTTCTCAGGAAGTTTCGCTGCGTAGATCCCAGTCTTCTGTGGCAAGCACTGTGCCTGAGTTACCAGGCCTCTCTGATAAACACAACTTGGTAGAGGACTCGGTTGATGAGTTAGTTCAAGGCAAGTGTTACTTCTTTCTTGATCTTTCCCTTTCCTTAAATGTGAAAACCACGGCAAAATGTGGATTGTTGGGGTCTTGTTTTCCTGGAACTTTTGATAACATGCGTAACTTGATTCTTAGAGAACTAAATCAGCAATCAACAATAACATTGCTGAACACTTTTTACAGATGAAACATCAATTGGAATCAAATGAACTGGGACTCTGCGACATGCATTATGTATTGTACAGACTACTATCGACGGATCATTTTAGAAAGCTGGTTTACTAATTCGGAGCAAACGCCACAGAATCGTATTCAACAGTTACCGGCACCGTACAAACGAGTTATTGACGAAATCAAGCAAAACTAACAACGACAGAATGACTGGACAACCGACAATTTGACGAACAAAAGCGCCTGTTGCGATGAAACTATGACAGAAGACATTTTAGAGTCTTCATAGCCATTAACATCACGGCTTGACGTGATACAACTCACTTTGACTCTGAAGATGACTGCCGTACAGGGTGCGAAACGTCAGTCACTGTCAACAACAGTCCTATTTAAAACTACGATCACCGGGACGACCATGCCCCACCTAATTAAATCAAAAGTGGCGAAGACAAACAGACTTAGGGCCTGTTTACATGGAGGTGGGGGACCCCAGGTAGGTTAGGTAACCCGCTTAGGTGGGGTAACCCGTTTGTCCATATAATCTCTCATTTTAATTTAATCACGTGTACATGATAGGTGGGGTGACCCGCCATATTTTACCTCACCTACCTGGGGTCCCCCACCTCCATGTAAACAGGCCCTTAACTGGCTGTTTCTGTTTCCTCTGTTGGAGGTCATATTCAAAAATGAGAATAAATGGAATTTCTCAATTTACTCGATCAAGCACAATGGTGTACAGAAACAATTGCAGCCGTGACTAACATTAATACACCACATAGTGGTAGCTTTCTTGTCTAAGGGTTCCAAAATCTCATTGGGAAGAATCTGTAGTTTCTGACTTATCCTGGAATGTGTCCAGTTGTTCTTATCCTCATTTGATTTCTGTGCTCTTCAGATTCCATTGAACAAGGCAAGAATCCTTGGGCCTAGTTAGGACATAGCATATTGACCTGCCCCACAGCAAGATGTCTTGCGGCGCGTAACGTGATGGTTGTCCATGACAAAGTCCGTGCCAGCTGATCTGTAGACTCGGCGGGTGCAGTGAAGAGGGCCGTGGATTGAGTCATTGTATTGTTCAGCATTTCGTTAAGAACACCTTCGAGTAAAAATTTAGTGCAAACTATTGCCAGAATGGAAACCCCATTTTAATATTTCTACGTTCCATTCTGCAAGTCAGAAATCAGCCATATGTCGGAAGGTCGTTTAAGGTTCATGGTGCGCATAATTATTGGTCGGTTATGAGGTTTCTGTTGAAACAAACTTTGCAATTTTTAGTCGTTCTTGACCTGTTGTAATTGGCATTTATGAAATTTTTAGCCAACACTTGTGTACTCTTAGAAAAGTGTGAAATTTTACAGCTGTAAATAGGTGTTGTTTATATTTTTAGGAATAAGACGGAATTTTTGGTATATAGCTGGTGTAAATTAACACTTTAGAGATGGGTTTAAAATGTAAATACTGAAAAACCTATATTTATTGCTTCTTCCTCTTTAAGTCTACCTGTGAGGTACCGTTTTGTGGAGCAAGTTATTAAATAAAAATTTGGTTTGTTTCAAAGTTCCCTCTTTAAAGAAGTTGTGGGGGAAGTTGGGGTAAAAAAAAAGGAAAACGGAAAGAATGGTCTAAGCTCGATACTACTATGAATCCGAGTCTTTGCTGCTAACTTTTCACGATACCACTGTCCTGTAATTCCCAAGAGAGACTTGAGCTCAATGAAAATCGAATCAAATCTGGAAATATGACCACAAAACCTCGGAGTAATGCTGTTTTTTATATCTCGGACGTTGGCTATTGAAGAGAGAAGAAATTTAAACTCTGAGTTCCCGAGGGAAGTCAAACGCTTGACATCCCAGGACGGGTTGTGCGCGAATGGCGATTGTCAATTACTAATCATTAAAAAATGTGTTGAGGCTCTTGAGCTATCTTGTGGGAGAGATGAGTCGTATGCAAAAGGTCAGATATACTTAGTACGTGCGCTTAAGACACGATGAAGATCTATAGAGTTACTGTATGTTTATTTACAGTTTCTTTCTTTTGATTCTTTTGATAAAAAAAAAAAAATGCTCTTCAAAAAATGGTACTCGCGTTTCACAGACTGAGGCATAGTTAGTAGAGGAGACTGGTTATGAAAGCTGGCAAACATTAAAGTTGAATACAACGGTGCTGTAGTTTATGTTGAAAGCTCCCTGACCGTGCACAATCCTTTTTTTTTTTTGTTCACAAATTGTAAATGAATAAATTAATGCGATTTTTCTATTGGTCAGTAAGTTCAAAATGATAGGAATGCTATTGAACGTTGTAAACGGTCAGGTCCAAAAAAGCTAACAAAAACATATAACAAAGGAGTCTAACGGGTTTCGTAGCCATTCCACTTTGCTTGTGTAACTTGGACTACTCTGGAATAAAACAATCGGTTGACCACTGGAACACTTAAGGTTAAGAAAAATTAGATTATGCCCTTCTTTTTAATTTTAAGGGATATTGACCTTCCCCGATTGGTTTTAATCAATCAACGCGCTAAAAACACCTTTAGAGAATTTTAAGAGCCTGAGAACATTATTTTTGAAAGAAATTTTAAGCATTTGTTACTAAATACCCCGTGAATTTGGACTCGTCCTATGCCGAAGTCTGTATCCAACAATTTGAATTGAAATGATTTTGATTTAAATTAAAGTTTTGAAATTTGGTTGGAGACTCTAGTCCTGTCACGTGAACGCAGTTTGTCGTCGCTAATGTTCGCGGTTATACTGTTTGGTTCTGAAATGTTTCCATTTTCACCTGAAACTTTCTCAGTGTCCAGCATTTGACATTGGCCTAGATTCAGTGACTGTTGATCGTTCCAGTTTGTGTCCATCGTTTCACCGTAGTAGTCAAAGCTAAGATTATAAAAGCTAGCCCTCCGAAACGAACCTTCGCTAGCAACAGTCCTTTGAGATTCATTTGGTCTCATGCTCTTGCGTCGTTTATACAATTGCAACCATTTGATGCGAATTTCGTTTTCTTCGCCCTTGCGAACGCTAAAAATCATTCGCTTCAAAAACTTCCCTAACGGACCCAAATGTCTTCCAAACTTTATCAAAAGAAAAATAATTAACATTTCTGATATAAGAGCAATAAAACAGAAGCCAATCACCCCTGCAATCAGTAGAAACAAACCAACAAACTTTTCAAACGATAATTTCTTCACCGGTATTGCATTACAGTCTTTCTTGTTGAACCAGTAGTCTATGATCCCTTGTAAACTGCCATTTTCCTGGTTTTTCAATACCGATAGAGTAGCTTCCTCAGTCCAAGGCGATCCTTTACGGAATGCAAACCCGTGGCCGTATTTATAAAAGTTCTTCCCAGCCAGGCTGTAACGGCAGTCCGGGTCTGCGTTCCCAGCTTGTTGTAAAGAGTGGTAGTCACCAATAACTCCGTGAATCTTGCTGAAAGAAGAAGGACAACACTTTTTGAACAGCCTAACAAATGGATTGTGTCACTGAAAACTCAGTGGTTACAGTTCTAACCATAGGCACGTTTTATAAGCGGATATTTCTTACCTAATTGTCTGCTAATTTTTCCCTTCACATTTTAATTTTCAACGTTTTTTTTTTTTGGCCTTCAAAGACATAACTGAGTCGCCTTCAAACTCAAGACAGTTATTATGTGGTGTGTTAATGCTACTAACTTGTGCGTAAGTTGATCGATGCCTTCCTGAAAGCTATCAAACAGATGTATCTTCAGATTGACTTGGTAAATCTTTCTGAACTCTTCTTCCACGTGATTCTTGAAGTAGGCTTCGTCACTGGTACCTCGAGTGATGCCAAGTTTAAAACCATCTGGTGGATAAAGCGACTTCTCCCGCAGCTGTTCAGAAGAACAAATGTTATAAAGTCAGTACAGTTTAACAGACAACGCCCCTGATATTGGGTGCTAGTCATATTTCAGTTTTTGCTCTCGTGATAGACTGTAGCCTGAGTGCAGACGATAACTAAACTCTGATTAGTACCGTCTGCGAAGCAGCGCAGAGATCCTTGTTCTGGACCCCCAACCGACTCAACGAATTACCGGAAGTGCGTTTCGAATTTCCCTTCAACCTGTTTGGCTATTATCAGTCTTGCGACAAACAAAACAAAGGTCTTTTTTAACTGGCCAATCGTGTTGCGTACTCAAATCTGGGTACACAGCTGGAAGTCCAGAACAAGGATTTCGGCGCTGTTTCGCAGACGGAGTTAACCAGAGTTTAATTTCGTCTGCGCGCAGGCTAGATAGACTGACATTTTGGAAAAGTTCGCGACATCTGTGGACGCCTACGCCTACGCCTAAGATCTAGAGGAAAGTGTACCCCTAACGGCAGAGGAGTTAAAGTGAATTCGCGGTGTTGTTCCATGTCCTTTAATTTATCAAATGTAGGTGAATATTTCTGGAGTTAAATCCAAGGACTGTATCTAAAGGGCAGAAAAATAAAAGACAAAAACTGATGCTATATGTTTACGCCCTCCATAAAGCGTGAAATTAAAAAGTTTCACGTCGCAGTCGTGCAAAGACGGCAAAGAAAAGCACAAAAAAACGTGATTCGCGTGCAAAGTTGTTGTTTTGCTGATCTAAACCGATTGCTTTTTTGCCGTTCTCATTGCCGTCGCCGTCGTCTTTGCTTATTAAAGCTCCCTACTAGCTGTCATGAACCGTCCTTGGGACCATTCACTTTGTTTTCAGTGCTCGTAATTTATTCTCGTTCTCAGAGCTTTGGGTTCCTCTCAACTGGCGTGAGCCTTCAAGATGCTTCATTTCAGGAGGCTCTGGGAGGCGATTGTAAGCAGCTGTGAGCAGTAGATACACATCGCCGCCTAGTTAGCTCAGTTGGGAGCGCGCCAGTCTGGTCGAATAAGGACGAAAAATCGTGGGTCACGTCACACAGCACTTTCACTTATCTGGTCCTTGTGGAAAGTAAAAGAACCTACACCACTAGTCGAAAAGAGTAGAGGGCGTTGATTCCTGTGGTGCGATCAGCCTTTTCTAGTGTGGGAAGGTTCTCCGTCAGGAGAGATTTTAATATTGGGATAACCTCACGATCCTCCTTCAGGAGTCGTAATGGCTTCCTGTAAACAGAGTATGTATGTACCTTCTCATCCCTTATACCACTGATTGGTAGGATTGGAGATTCCTGGACTAAGAAAGCCATCAGATTTGCGCAGTACGTATTTACCATAATCAAAGCCAAAAACGCGTAAACCGCTGATACAAAGCGGGCACTATTGCTGCGTGGGGACTTCTCAGCACCTATATCTTTGCTAAAGGCAACGCCCCATACATAACTCATGGAGTCTGGAAAGAAACAGAACATAAAACAATGTAAAGTATTGTTCTGGGCAAAGCATTGTTTTGCATTCTCGCAAAATCAGTGAAGTCAGTCTTGGCCTTTCATGGATTTTTTCATAATAATTACGATAAAATGTCTTGAGTTTACGTCAATGAAAATGTCTGTGTACAAACATATGATGAACCCAAAGGAAGTTTGCCCACCCGCAAAACACTTAGCAACTGTCAAGAACTTTTGTTTGATGTGTGATCGTGCACTGGATTTTCGAAACATGTGCTTTTTTAAAAAAAATGGCAAAACTTGTGAACTCAGAAAAAATCTGGAATGAGAAAACTACCAATAAGGGAGTGAAACAGTGGAGTAAATCTTCTTTCTAGCTTAGCCAATTTCTCCCTCATCCCTACTTTTCCCTTCTCGTTAAAATGTGGAATTCAGTCATTACCCGTTACATCCAAAATACTCACAGTATGTCAGTGACCTGCATTTAATTTCACTGTTCGCCTCCTCAATACAATTTGTACCGATTTCTCCCTCCTCACGAAACTTAGGGCCATTGCTCCCTTCTCTTGGGACCGTTTCTTTACCCACCCACGCCATCAAAACCTCCTCCCCGATATGTTTTGACCCCAGAGAAACAAATCCCTGCACATTGTAAGAAGGCTTTCGCCATTAGTGCGCCACAAACCTTACTCCCCTCCCAGAAACGAAAGTGGTGAGCGATCCTTTAAGTAGACTACAGCTGAAGAAATGACTTATAATTTCTATGGAATCAAAACACTAGAGCTATACATCCTAAAAGTATCAGCAAGAGTTAAACATGCAAAGAAAAGCGTCGCTTGAAGCGTCGCGATCAATGACAAAGTGAATCGATAACCCACTTACCCAATAATGTAAATGCATCTTCGTCACTGTCCTTGAGAATGTGGTAATATCCTTTAGGACTTTTCCTATCCAGCCACCAGACCACAAACAAGACCAGGTTACACGTGACTAGGATAGCTATCCACAGATCCACTTTGAAAGGCTTGAGCCAAGAGAACCATAAGCTGACTGGTAAATAAGAGATTTAAATGCACTCAACATTTATAATTATGTGATGGGTTTAATTTAATACAACAATTATGGAGCTGGCACATTTCATTGTTATATGTTTTGTTAATAGGTTTGTAAAATTTTTGAAGCTTGACCAGTGACATTAAAGCCCTGTTGGACTACTCCGACCAATAGACGATTTTTCCATTTAGGTATATTCACAGTCAATGACGGGTGGAGAACATTTAACATAGTTTGAATGTTTTTCGGGGAATCACTTGTTAGTAGAATAGCAGGGACCGCTTCGGAGCTTAGAGCGTCACGTCACCTTTTCTTGGAGCTACCTTAATTCGTGTTCTGCGTGTTTTGCGTATTCCTCCGCAAAAATGGTCTAACTGTATCCTACTATATTACTGTTGTTGAGGCGCAAGGGTAATGCATTGTCAGTAATGCTGGTTAATATGCATTATTATCCATTCAAAATATTTTCCCGATTCTGATTGGCTAAAACCACATGCAAAATTCACCATAACCAGCTACTGATGACCAAATTTGGAAGAATTTTGCGATCAATGAACCGATGACGTCAAAAGTGCAGCTTTTTTGTAGGTTAATGCACCGTTAACCGAGAAGACCTGGGGACGAGGTTTTGTTGTTTTGGTTGTAAAACAAAAATGGCGGACATTTCACTCTTTTCAATTGAAGAATAAGAACTAGGCGAAATAATAGCTGAAAACATGGCAAGAACAGCAAGAAGACAACTCAAAGGGTGACATCTGCTATTTGGAGAATATTTGCGGAGCTGAGCAACCCTAAACGTGCACTATCAAAGATGAACTTTAACATCGATGGTTTTGAATGAATAATAGATACATTTTGAATGAACAATATAAGAATTATTGAATTCGGCTTTCTTATCGTATATATAAGATGTTCAGCCTCATTCATTAATTGTTAAATATCCAGTTTTAGATGCTAATGGACAGCTTCTTTGTAGCAGTTGAACTCACACTGAAGACGAATTTACTGATGGCTTTCAATTTACCTGATTTTCCATGGGAGAACTCCTTTTGGACCAAGATATTGAGTGCCGTTGCTATGTTTGGATATATCATGTTGATATACTGTGAACGATTCATGGTTATCGACAAGTCAAGGGCTAAATCTGCTTTACCGGAAATAATTTCTCCCACGATCCCGGTCCAATTGTTTTTACTTGCATCGAACTTGCCGTATAGACCGTCAGAACTGACATAAATTTCAGCGTCAAATACGAGATCTTTTTGCAAGGATTGCAAAAAATCTATCGATGCTCCAAAACAGCAGAGAAGTTGCTTTATCTGCTGGCTTGAATTCGTGACACTACTGTAACTGTAACATGGAAGTGCTCTTCCTAAGCATGGTCGTTGGCTCTTAGGCATCGCAGGGGCCTTTGCTTGCACCAGTGGGGGCCATATAACAACAGGGACTCGGAGAATAGGACGCTTTGGATGAAGGAGCGGAAACAAGGTATTTCCATCGAGGTCCATCATTGGCTCCAAAGCGAGGCCTGAAGGGGTGACCAAGCCCACTTGAGACCAGTGCTTTTCACCACTAAGATCTCTTTTAAGGTTTAATATGGTAAAGACTGAGCCAAGAGGATCTTGTAAGTGATGCTCTTTAAATAAAGAACTTTTCCCTTCGATGTAAGTTTCCTGTAAGTACCTGTGCGAATTAGAAGGCAAGTAAATTTTACAGAGCTTAATGCCTATAATATTGGGGCCTCGTTTATACGAAAGATTCTACTAATTACCGTTAACAGAAAAATATCTGAAGTAAAAAGTTAATTTCGTTTGTTATAATGCCTATTGATGGTATTATACCCTGCGGCGTAAACAAACCAACAACGCAACAGACAAACCAAGCGAATGACTTCGTAAACGCTAAAAGCCATGCAAGAAAGAAACCTCTACTCACAGGATTATGGTTTTTATTTCTCTAGAGACTATTCGTGAGGAAGCTATAATCGGGACCTTTAGTTTCAAGGTCGAGAGCGACTACGGGGACGAGTTTTTACTAAAGAAAACACATCCCAGAATCTAAAAACACTTCCAAGAATTCAAAAACACTTCTTAGAATGAAAAAGCACTCCCTAAAGTCCAAAAACACGCCCATTCTGGAAAGTGTTTTTGGATGCCGGGTTGTGTAACTGGATTCTGGATTGTGTTAATGTGTTCTGGGGTGTATTAAGGGATTCTTGACACGGTTTTGGATTCTGGGAACCGTTTTGTCCCTATGACCCACCGTAGAATTCAACTGCAGAAAATTAAAATTTTCACCACTCACATTATTATGTTTTTCTGCAAGCATTTCGACATATTCCCTGAAGCGAGGAGAGTTTGTGTTCCGTCTTTCCCAAGGCTTACCAAAGATCGTTTAAAAACAGTTTCAAATAGGGCAAATGAATCATACAGTGCGTTTATATACTGCTCATAGTCATGTCTGATCTCGGGTTCCTTTGCCTTAACCATAATCACACCAGGAGGGATTGAAGAGATATCCCTTGTGCTGTATGATGTGACGTCACTTATAAGCCACGCGCTGTTGTTGTAAATATCACATAGGTTATCAATTGCGCGAAATATGTCTTCGTTTGATCGTTGGCGAATATGACCAATGATAACTCCGGGTTTGCTATCCATAACGTTTTTGATGCCTCTGTATATTTCGTCGAACGTTTCATCTCCATCGATCCAGAATATCGTTCTAACAATCCATTTCTCCTGAACACAAAGCTCATTCACGGCATCGACAAATTGTTTACCATCGTACGTCGTAGATGCCACCAAGCTTAATGTATGCCATCCCATTTTCTTTGAAATCGCCATCATAGTTTGTGCATATTGAATGACAGAAGGTGCAGCTACTCTTGTAAGTCCCAAAGCATATGAGCTTTCCTTTTGTATAAAACGTAAATAGTACAGTGTAATTAAAATACACCCAGCGAGCAGAGATTCCCGTAGGTGTCAGTAAAACGCGGGGTCGGGGCCGACCCGTTTTTTAAAGAATGCTGTTTTACGGTTAGGGTAAGGGTTGATACTAACCCTAACCCTAACCCTAACCCTAACCTACACTAACCCTAACCCTAAAACAGAATTATTGAATTATTGAATTGACGTTTTAACAATCATTCTTTAAGAAATATGATAAAAGTGGACCCTTCAGGAGTAAAGAAAAAAAATGGAAAATCTGCTCTTCTTTCAATACCTGATGTCTGTAATAAATTATAACATGAACGAGCCATTTTTGCGCTAATTAAAATGCCAAATATTTATTCAGTGCACCGATTTTAACTTCCGACAAATTAATTATCAGCGTCTTCATTCGCTAAACTGTTTTTCTTGCTACAATCAGGTGTTTTTTTATTCTTAAGATAGACTCGTATCAAGATGATCCTTTTTGTTGCAAGCAAAACGCTGATCTTTTAAAACCCGGACTGGTCATTTTATACATATACCAGTAATTAGCGCAAAAAAAATATGAATGATTCAATTTAGAAAAAAACTTGTCGTTATCTCGCGATAAAAACCATACGCCACCAGGTGATTCTAGATATACTTTTTATCAATTTGTTTATTCGTGCACATTGCGCGACACAAAATTGACGCAATGTTTTTCCCTGTTATTTGCTTTTTTATTCACAAAAAAAAGGCAAATAACGAGTTGAAAAAAACACACACACACACACACACACACACACACACACACACACACACACACACACACACACATACGTTACCGGTTTAAAGACAATCAAGATTTTCTCAGCTTGAAATGACGTTAACTTCAAACAATAACAGAAACTCATTAACTGCAGCGATATAAAATCCACACAGAAAAGCACAAGACAAGATATTATATACGATTCTGAGTGTTGTTTGTTATGCCAACGTGGGATTTAGGTTTGACGTACCGGGCACTTTGACCAGATTAAACGTGTGTTTTATAACGATACAAGACAAGTTGTGCTACATAAGATGCAAGACGATACATAAACATTTAAACCCAGCATGTTTTAGGCAAAAAAACCTCCCCAGTGCATAAAGACTGTTTCTCTTTGTATAAATTATAAAAAATAAGATATAAACAGTGACATGATAATTACTTGCGTCCTTAAGCCAGATCATCTACAAAAACGTAGTATCTGTGTTCGAACTCCCTAAACCTTTAAAAATTGTTCTGACTAACATTTTTCCAGGTCTATTACTCAGTAGTGCAAGAGGCCCTGTCAGTTTGTATGATATTACAGAATTTCAAATAAAATGGCGGAACTAATTACGTGGCAACCTAGTATAAAAACTGACTCTTTCTGCTTGTCTGTGTGTTTTTGAAGTCCAAGCTTATTGAGCCGTGGACATCAGTTTCGTTCAATCTGCTTTCCACCTTCCTTACAAGAGGAAATACCCAAATCGATTAAATTTTCTGTCAAGATGCTCAAAATATTGGAGCAGATTGTTCTCTGATTAAAGGAGAGGGGTATTAAGGGGTCTTAAAATACCCGGTGCATATTGAAAGGAGAAGCTAGAATTTTTCAAATTCAAACTAAATTCAGACAAAGTGTTAAGTTGAAGATCCCGATGTACCATGGCCTATTAATAGACCAATGATTGCAAACCAAGAAACACCAATATGACATTTAAAGGAGACTTTTCATACCTGCGTAACTGGATATCCGTTTTGGCTCCGAAACAAACCAATAGATGGAACTGATACGCTCTCCAAATACGTGGAGAAAGCAACGCTGCTTTCAGTCACATCCACTAATATCGCACCATGGGATGAAAGTGTTAAGTTTGAAACCTTTGGGATCAAACTGTCCAGGCCATTCGCTCGCGACGAGAGGTTCGTTAAGTCAGTTTTTGAAAAGTGCATCTTCACCTCAAAATCTGCATAAGAGTCACTGTTGTCTTGTCTATTTCTGGATTCGAACATTTTCACTGCCGTGTTAAAGACAGATTCGTGATAAATACCATCGGTGTCAAAAAACACAGGGATGTTGATACGGTATTTATCAACCGCATATCCCTGTAGTATAAGTAACTGGAATACAAAAAACAAGACAATGTACCGCTGAAAAATTTCTCCTGTAGCCATATCATATGCGTTATCTGAATCCAAATAAAAGAAAGTGACTTGAATTTCTACACCGTTGTCACAATTTTAGTTGAAATATGCCTGGATATTTTCCATATATTTATGATATCATATCACAGGTGTTTTCAGCGGATCCGGTTTTATGCGACCTTCAATAAAAAAAAAAACGAAAACCTGAAAATTCTATGTGATAATTTTAGCATGTAATAAAAGAGGAGGAAAGATAGCCAATCAGAATGGCTAAACTCTAAAAACTAGAATATGCGACGAACTAATATCCTTTCGTAAAATGAAATTGCGGCTCATCAATACGTTGTTAAATAAGCAGAAAAGGAAAAACATTAGTCGTAATTTTATTCTTTCTAGCCGCCAAAGTTGGGAATAAAAAGCTCCAAGGGAGAGAATCGGATCGATTTTAAGACAATCGGCCTTACAATGGAACTTATGTCATACTGCAGCAAGTCAAATAACCAAATAGCTGTCATTTCCGTTTAGCTAGGTATTATGACAGCAAAAGTCTCTAATGGTCTGATGCTATTGGCGTCGCTGCTTGGACAGCAATTATTTACGAAAAATCAATTCGTATTGTTAGCTTAGAATGGTGTTTCGAGTCATACGTTAAGGAAATGCATTATAATGTTATGTACTGTTTTTGCGAACTATTTGCAAATAACTAGAGAAGTTTGACAGCTCTTAACTTTATTATTCTAAGATCCACAGGGTAAAGAGATCATACGAAACAATCGTTCCGCAAAATGTAATCCGGCGGCAAATGTAATGCACCCCATGAAACGTTTTTCCTATGTAGCCTACAGCAGCTGAAATCCAAAAGAAGGCGCTAATGAATTCACTATTTAATACAACCTTTCCATCCGGTCGCGTTTAAAAATTCATGCAAACACTTCGTTTATTTTTATTACATACTCTAACGTTTGTGAGTTTTTTCTACAACCCAAAAGATCGGAATTGAGGGCTCGGTCGAACTGTTTTCCTTCTTTTTCATAGTCATAACATTTAAGCATCAAATTTTTCCCAGAAAAACCAAAGGAGATCTTCTTTCAGCATTTACAGGTTTACAAATTGACGAACGCCGTTGGCGTTGAATTTCTCACTGAACAGCAAAATGTTGGTCTTTCTTCTAGCACCATAACCAAATTATACATGACAAAACTGAGGCCTTGTCGACAACTACGCGTCTCCGTACACCACCGTTTTGGTGCCGACTAAAACGCTTTGAGGACTCGACTTACGTCACACCAGCGTTTCGCATCGTTGTCGACCATTCACGTACCGCCATCGGAAACGAATGCATATCTAAAATAGTTTCGTTCCCAGGCTATTTTTGGAAGTGTGTGCGCTCTCTTCTAATGCGCTAGAGAAGCTACATTCCCGCCATTTTTAAAGTGTAAATAACCAGGAAATAAACGCGAGTAGGTTCGATGCCAGCGTTTTCAAAACCTGGTGCTTGCTCGTCGATACCAAAGCGACAGTCCTCTGTTTTTGATAGTTTATGGAAACAAATAAAAAATTCCTGTATTCAGACAATTATTCGCACGGCAGACAGGCTTTGATGTGTTAGATGAACACTTACATGACCATAGAGACCTTTGCTACTTGCACAAACGTGAAAGTGACCCACTTAAAAACAAAATATTAATACAAATATCTTTTATAAGTTCAATGTGACTTATTTGTAGAAACGATTTCCATGACCATATAAACAACGCATATACATGATAAAAATTGATCTTATACTCACCACCGTAAAGATAAAGACTGCTTAGCTAATATACCGAACTAAATAATTAATTTGCCAATTTGGTTTAGAGTTAACCGTCTCTCATTAAACCTGAGAAAAAAAAACAAAACAAAACAAAACAAAAATAAATAAATTTGTTGTCTTTAAACCATGCCAAATAAGTACAAATCATAACATTCAACTTTAAATGAATGGCCAAAATTGATCGGGTAAACGAAACAGTTTTCTTTGAAGTCATTATAGATGAACACTTAAAATGAAAGTCTGAAATCTCACTAAATTTTATAGCACCTTCAATACCGACATCGTCCTTAGGTAAATATTTGTAATCATTATTAGTATTATTATATGTAATAATTATTAGTATCTTTTCTAAATCTGACAAACGACAGTTCAATATTTAACTTTTGTAAATTTCCTTATTATGTTCTTAATTTCCAATTGATAAATAATTGTATCCGTCGTCGTAATTTTTAAACCCAACCCTTAATGAGGAGGTCTGATTAACATAAGTTAGGCCTCCTCGCCATTGCTTTCTACCTTTTTGTATCTTTGTTGTTCTTGTCGTAATATTACACCGTAATTTTTAGGGAGTTTTTGTAACTCCAAAAATGGAGTAAAAATTTTAGGTACAGGATAACCCCTTTTTGGGGGTTATTTTAACTCCTAATTTAACTCCGAATTTGGGGTCATTTCTGCTCCTGAAAAAGTTCTTTTTACTCCCAGTCTGGAGTTAAAATAACTCCGAAATGGGGTTACTTTTACTCCTTACATGGGTTGTTTTTACTCTTTTTGGAGTTAATTTAACGCTGAAAGTGGAGTAAAAATTTTAGGTACAGGATAACTCCTTTTTTGGGGTTATTTTAACTCTTCAATATCTGCGGTCACTTTTACTCCTGAAAAAGAGTTCTTTAAACTCCTTTTTGGAAATAAAATAACTCCACTGTAAGGGGTTAAATTAGCCCCACTAGAGGAGTTATTATAACTCCTTGAAAATTACTGTGTATGTGTGGCGTACAAATTAAAAAAATAGAATAGGTTTTCAACTTTGATAAACAGAATGAAAGATTAACAATCATAAGCTCAAGTTCTCTACAGAGACTGTTTCAATTGGTTTGGCTCCGTTGCTGAGGGGAGTAAAACAAAAGAAATAAATTATTAATCCATGAATCCCAAAGCGATTTCTTTTGTTTTTGGCTACGTTCACACTATACCGGATAGTTTTTGCTCCAGCACGAATATCATACCGGATAGTTGCGCCGCGGGGGTCTCTAAAGTGGAGAGTCATATAATCGGATAGGTGTTCACACTATTTCGACGCGATTTCTATAACGCAGCGAAGCTGCGCCGCGTCGATCTCTAAAGTGGAGAGTCATATAATCGGATAGGTGTTCACACTACATCGGATAGCTTTTGCTCCAGCACGAACATCATACCGGATAGGACTTCTGTTCACACATAAGAACGGTGATTTTGGCGCGATTTCTGTAACGGAGCGAAGCCGCGTGAAGTCGATCTCTAAAGTGGAGAGTCATATAATCGGATAGGTGTTCACACTACATCGAATATCTTTTCGTGCCCCGCTATCCAGTATTGCGCGAACATAGCCTTATTCCCTTCAACATCGGAGCAAAGTGTACAGTTTAATAATTCGAAACTGGCCTTTTTGGTATTGATCAGTAAAAGTCGTAAACCAGTGTCTTCAATTAGTGCATGAGTTCTTCCGTGAAAAACACATCGATACTTCAGAGCAGACCAGAGTTATGAAGACATATCCTTGTACAACCCTGGCAAAAACAAGGAACCCTGCCCTGTACTGCTCGATTTTTCGCATGCATTTTCCCGCCTTGCGGTCTTTTCTCCAGTCATCTGATCAGACCCGTCCGTACTCAGCCTTCTTTTTAGCGTACTTGATCTAAGATTGTAGCCAGACGAGTCCAACGTCGGCATGTTCTCGTCGTAATGGCTCGTATCGGAAACTGATTGAGTTTTCACAGAGCTTTCAGAGCCAACAGGAGAGGTTTCCTGAACCGGTTGCGCAACAGGTGGTTTGAGAATCTAAGGGGAAACAACAAAAAGCAGCGGTAAGGAAACCCTGCGAGAAGAGCGGGGCCGCTGTAATTGGCCACAGCTGTAATTGGCCGGAGCTGTTGCGGTGTCCCTGCCAACGTTCTTTCTGTTTGTTTGTTTGTTTGTTAGCCTCATTTCTCCCCCACCGGGGGGAGAAGTGAATGCGTGACAAACGAACCCCAAAGGACGTCTGCGGGGAGGCTATTTGTTTGTTTGTTTTTTTTTGGCGAAGCTAATCAAATAAAAAAACAAAAAAGTAAAGGAGTCTCTGAAGTAGTCGCAGCCAGAACTTCTGGACTAGTCAAACCTATTCTCCATCGTTTAACTGGTTTTCCGACTGCGAGCTTCCGTTCGTTGATCAACCGATGGTCAGAACTGAGCCCGCTGTACCAAGCGCACGGCTATATAGGCCTGGGCTCCAAACTATATCCAAGCAAAATGCCGCGCATGCGCAACAAAGATCTTACTCGATTCATGCAGAGTCTTTCTCGAGTACGCGAAAGTCGAGCCAACGAAAAAAAAGCCCCGCTAGCAGGGTGGGGTAAATAATAATTATACCAATAACAAGGGAACGAGTTTCATCCATTATACTTCTACATGAAAAATATCTGCAATTTGATTGGCTTAGAGCAGTGGTATTTCAGCTTAATTTGAAATACCTACATGTGAAAATTACAAACCTTTTGCGGGTAGTAGAAAACAAATAATAGCATGATTTGTACGTGATATTTGGCATTTGGCATAAACACCACTCGTGATGTTTCAAAATTGTCTCAAATTTCACTCGCCTAACGGCTTGTGAAATTGCGTGTAACAATTTCGAAATATCACTCGTGGTATTTATGCCTAATATCACTACAAATCATGCTATTACCTATTCAAATTCACTCGTCACCATTATTTTGATTACACATACATATCCAAACACTGGCAAGTGCACTGAAAAAAAGACCGCTTACCTCTTGCAAGAGACGTCTCGTTTCCTCCGTCAAAGCATCATGGGAGAATTTACATCGTTCACCACCCCAGCAGTTTGTTCCAGTGTGAAAAAACTTACATGGAAACGAGCATACGTCAGGTTAAAGAATCATTCTGGGAGAATTATTTTTGAGGTATGAATTTGGCTCCTAACCACAACGTTAGAAAATTGTGGTCATTCAAAGCGAAGTAGGCTTAACTGCGGAATACCCGGCCACTTTGAAGCTATACCCCGGTTTGGCTACATGGATAGCCGGCTACGTAGTCTCCTACGGTTGCGCTTAGGGTTAGAGTTAGGGTTCGAAACTCGAAACAAATTTATTCACAAGGTGCCACGCTCCAAGTTCCTTAATCCCACTACGACACTTGTGGAAAAAGAAACGCGTGTAGTTTATCTCTTTCTTTAAACATTGAGCCGAAAAAAACGTACTACACGTGTAATATCCCTCGTTTTTTAAACCATGGGCGGAAACAACCACATATATACCTCGTATATAGTCTACCTCGTTCATTAAGTCATGGATCCGCCTAGTCACGCAGACCAATAGCTACTTAGCTGTGTACCCAAGTAGCCACGTAGCCGCATAACCACGTAACCACGTAGCAATCTACGGCGTAGCCGCGTAGCCACGTACCCACTGTTACGGGGATATAGCTTCGAAGTGCCTGGGTATGCTGCAGTTACTAGTCCGCAAATAAAAAACAAGCGATTTAACGCATGTTGCCTATTAAACTTTCGTACATTCAAGTGATGTTTTTCTATTTTGTCCACTACTTCATTTCAATTTATTTCCTGAAATTTTTGTGCAAGCTAATCTCGTACCCAGATCTCTTATTGACGAGGCCAAAGGCTTCGTAAACAAGAGATCTGGGTACGAGATTATGTGCTGGATTATTTTTACACTAAAATGATTTTAGCCTCGACAAGTGCCGAAAACTGGTTTTAAAGGGGTTAGGGAGTGAACTGTTTACTCATGAAAGAAGGGTTACAGAAAAAAAGTTGATATCGAGGAATTTTGAGTGACAATTTCACGCAAAAGGAGACAAACTTGAAAAAAAAAACAAACAAACAAAAACAAAACAGAGCCAATTTTCTCCTTTATACAATCCATAAGTCTTCATGCCTGAATTGTGACCGGAAATCAAGTTAACCTGTTTCTACACTATGCAATTTGAACAGAAAAGGATATTGTGCATATAAGGGCATTCATCTTCTAAATGACAACTGCTGGAAGCATAGTATTTACACAGTTCTCTTTTCCTCACGATTGCTGATTTGTCATGACGGAAGGAACATTGGCTGCCCTGAAAAATAAGTAGAAAAAATAAATTTCATAAACTAATTAAAAATAATAACAACAACAACAACCTGAGTTAGACGTGTTATTTTCTTCTCGTATCGCTCAGCCTGTTACAAACATTCAGGTGAGTGGAAGGTGGCACAAACCTGCTTACACCTCTTTGTGCTGACCCAACAATCTGAACGCCTACATCTGTAGAACAGGCTTTAAGTAAATTTGTCTATCCAGCGCTTTGCGAGGGAAAAAAACATCGTCACGTCTGGTATTGTTCACCTGCCGGGGAAAAGGGCCGGGGAAACAAGAAATGGAGAACGGCTAACGGGGAACGGGAAACACGCATGGGGAACGGGAAAATGAAAAATGGGAGCAAAACTAAACTTGAACCCAAGACCTATCAGTAACTACATTTCCAGTTCTAGGTTTTTTCGCATTTTTCATTTCCTGTTCCCTGAGTTTGTTCCACACTCCCTGTTTTAGTGTAACATCCCTGAAACAAGATAAATTAAACAAAACGCTTCTAAGGGATTTAGGCACAAAGAATTTCATTTAAATGATAAAAATCTGCCTGGGTGGGCACTTTAACTTGACATTGCAAAGACAGAACAACAACAACAACAACAAAAACAAAACAAAACAAACAAAGAAACAAACAGAAAAACACCCACCATTTTACATTTTCCATGGATGTAGTAGCCACAAATAGGTTTAGGAGCAGTTCTTGTCCTAGGATGAGGCTCTCCTTTTCGTATTCTCTCCCAAGCAGCAGCTTTTCTTTTTGCTTTCTTTAACTTCTTGGCGTGCTGGCCACCTCTGCTTCTCTTAAGTGCCAACTGCAAACAATGAAAACTACAGTATGTGGGTTTTTAAGGAAATAAAGAGCAATTTTTTTAAGGGAAGCAAATGGATTTTACAGACAAGTTCACAAATTAACAAAAGCTTAATTTTTTTAGTACATCACTTTAATACTGATTAACTAAGGCTGTGTCTACACTGTACAGAGATGGGCCAGAACTGAAACAAGTCATATGTTTTTTTGTATAGTTTTTGAGCTGGTCTAAGAGCTACTGTGTTTCTGCGAATAATAGCCATCCCTTGATTAATTGCCTTCCTCGAATAATTGCCCCTTGTCCCTCTCACCATCTTCTCTTCCTTTAATCCCCTCCCTGTCAAGTCGAAAAACATTGAGATCCAGCAAAAATTATCAGTGATGAAAAAAGCTCTGAAAAGTGAGAAATATTAAAAATAATCGCCTCCCTCAAATCATCATCTTCCCTCAAATTATTGCCCCATCTATCATTCAAGAAAATACTGGTATAGTGCAGACATAAGTTAGCAGAAAAAGGGTGCGTTGATGATCATAAGCATCATTGATATCATTCAAAAACTGTCTCCAAGATTTTTTGTAGCTACAGAGCCTGCTGAGCAAACATAGTCTAATTCCAAGATAGTAAGGTATCCTTGTTCTGGCCCCCAGTGGTCTCAGAAAATAACCAGAAAAGGGCGTCAAACTTTCTTTTCAACCTGATTCGCAAATTGACAATGGCTTTTTTAACAAGCCAATCATGGCGCGTACACAAATCCTGGTACACAGCTGGTTCTGACAACTACACACACTGTACCTTTTCACTAGCTGCCACTGTACAATCCACAGCATAAGATGACACTAATGACAACAGTGATCCCTGCTCTGATTGACTCTGTCCTGGTGGTTTGTTTAGTGACCCTTCCTGTGACGTGTTCTGATCAGTTGATTTGGTTTGAGTTGTTGTATGTACTGACTGTTGTTTTAGCAACATCTCTGAAGTCTCCCGTTTATTCAATGAAGCTAGATTCTTTGGTCTGTCTCTGATTGCAGATGACTGAGATGCGGCTGCCTGTATGTGTTTGCCTTTGTCATTTGCTATCTTGCTATTTGGATCAGAGCTCTTACTTCGGGTAATTCTTTCATTGATAGCCTATATAGAAAGATGAGCAATAATCAGTATCACTCCCAACAGCTATCACTGCAAGTCTTCTAAGCACTCTTAAAAGTTGAACAATTGCACCCTAAGGCAAAATCCCCATATAACTGTATTCTGATATATGCACTGATATTACACCTCTACAACTGATAATCTTGAAAACATTAATCTTAGATATTTACATTGCCAAAAGTAAAAAAATATACAGTCATGTACATAGCCTGTGCTACAGACGGAACTAAACTTCTGGTTGAGTCCATCTGTGAAACAGTGCTGAAATCCTTGTTTTGGGCTCCTCTCTGTAACAAGATCTGAGTATGTGTCATGCTAGGCCTGTTAAAAATGTTATTGCTGATTTGCCAATCGAGTTGAAGGTACTTGACTATCGTAGCTAAAATTCGAGCCCTGGTGGTCACTCACTGTTTGTTCGGGACTTGTTTCAATCTTTCAGACCTTTCCACTGACCGGGATCTAAAGGCTAGAAACAATAACATTGCTTCCTTCAGGGTTAGTGGACTTACTTCTTTGTTTTCTTAGTTAAGTCTCCATTCACCATTTACTTCGACTATTTTACATTTGTCTACTTTTGAAGTGAAAGAATTGATGTCTTTGGAAAATTTCTGCTTCATTTACTCTTATGGAGATTGATAGTGACTTGTAACCGGTGTAACATTGTCTCCTCTCATAAATGTCTGACCTACAATAACCAATCTTTTTGTACAATGAGCTTCAACAGAAAGTTAATAAAGTCTTTTTGGAGGAATTTTTCAAAACTGAGAAGCCATGTTTGTTTTATTTTTGCGTGGACGTCGCGCGGATTTTTAAGCTTGTGTCATAATAGTGCTCAGGCTACGCATGGTCAATTTATTCCAGGGAGCCACCTTAAAGGGACATCTGAGTTGCAGACTTGAAAATCAGAGTTTGTCATCAAAAACTGGAATTTGTTTTCGAAAATGGGAGTCTGTTTTGAAAAATATGAGTTTGTTTTACAAAATCAGAGTTTGATTATATTCATATAGATATTTGCCCGCTATAAATTTTAACTTATTAATATTATTATTATTAGTATTATTATTATAATCATTATCAGTTTGAAACTAGGAGATTTCCTTTTGAAGTTTGGAGTTTGAAAATTGGAATTTGTTTTTGAAAATCACAGTTTGCTTTCAAAAATCAGGGTTTGTTTTAAAAAATCGGAGATTGTTTTCCGAACCCAGAGTCTGTTTTAAAAAACAGGAGTTTCACTTAAACTGTAATTCTTGAAATCAAACTCCGACTATCAAACTCTGGTTTTTGAAAACAAACTCTGATTTTCAAATTCCGATTTTCAAATCTGATTTTCAAACAAGAAACTCCAATATTCAAGAAAACAAAAACCAATTTTCAAGTCAAACTCAGATGTCCCTTTCACTGTGAAACTCACAAAACCGTGAACACCAGAATACTTATGAAATGTTATCGTGTTGCGAGAAATAAGCCAATAAGGCCCAAGATAACTAAATGACAAACAGCAACGGTAATTAGTTTGTGGTTTTGAGGTTTGCTTGCCTATCCTGAACTTTATTGTGATTGGCCAGTACACAATCAACATTCCTGAAATTTTTCAGGTGTCACGGTTTTCTGAGTTTGACAGTAAGCTTCATTACTTACAAATATGTTTACGTGTACATACCTTCTTTTCAGCTTTGGCTCTTTTCCGAGAAGCTTTCTTTCTCTGATTTTTTGCCTTTCGCTTTTTTCTTTGCATGTTCCTGAAATGGTTTTTACTTTTTCTTTGTGTGGTATCTTGATAAAATGTTATTCCCCCAGTACAGTCTTCAGTATCAGAATTCAGATGCATGTCTTCTGGTTCATAGTCACTTTTGATTTCACCCTCCTCTTCATCAGAGTCATCATCGCTGTCCCTAGGATTAAAATCATCTCCCTCATCTTCTCCGTCAGAGTTTGTGTCATCCATTACCAGCTCAGCATACTCATCTTCGCTTACCTTGACAGAAATCTTACCATTTGTGCTGACACTTTCCTCTCCTCCCTGTCCATTACAATCATCATGATCCTCATCATCACTTGTCTCGTTATCATCCTTATCCTTCTCAGTATATTTAGTACTACCTTCGTCATCATGTATATTACCACTTTCATCATTGTCATCATCATCATCATCACGGTCACCATCATCACCATCACGGTCACCATCATCACTTTTATCATAGTTGCACATAGAACTGCCATTAGCAGTTTCACTGTTATTGCCATCATTGGCTGTGGTAACATCATGGCCTTCCACATAAACACTTGTTAAATCATCACAAAAGTGATTATTTCCGTAGAGGACTCCATCTTCAGAGGTAGAATGCTTGTCATCAATGTCAATTTTTTCTTGATTCATCCTAAGACCTTCAACACTATCATCTTCTCTTTCCTCAACATGGTCTCTTTCTTTGTTTGCAGGTTTCACCACCACTTCATCCTGTAGATTGTCTATAAGCTTATTCCCGATACTTATTTCCTCAGGATCTGTAGCCAAAAGTGCTGCATTTTTCTCATAATTCCTGTCAGTCTTTTCAGTGACAGCCTTACTGGAGATAACGTTACTCTTTTTTGGCTCTTGTGGAAGGTCTCCCCTCTTTGCAGGAAGATTTTTTATTTTAAGCAAAATCTCTCCCGAGTTTTTATTGACCTCTTCTTTTTGGCTGGTGACACAGTGCCCATTTGAAATTTCAATCACAGGCTCTTTATCCTGAATGTCCCTGCTATGCAAAGATTTATCTCCTTCTTTACACACTGAAGCTCTTTTTTTTGATGGACTTCTAACTGGATCTTGTGAACTTTCTTCCATAATATCAGTATCACAAAAACTGGCTAATGTCACTGGTTTTTGCTTATGTTCCCCTGACAAAATGTCGGATTGTAAATGTTGCTTGCCTTCCTTAGGGTGCACGCTACTGGATTTTTGATCAACATCTTTCAGTCTAGCCTGACTTCCATTGGTATTCTCAAAATTCTTCTCTTTTAATGCTTCTTTGGGATGATTCTCCAGTTGCTTGCGGTCTGCTGAAGTAACAGTAGCTTTATCACTTTTAATAATATTTTCTCCAGATGTTGGTGTATTGTGTACTGATCTATTCCTGGGTTGGGGGGCAGGGATGATTACCAAGCATCCCCCTTTCATAACCTTTTTGACTCTTGGTTTTGGTTTTTGAGGAGGTGGAACCTCTATTTCTTCAGAGGTGATCTGCTTTTGTGAATTTAAAGTGGATTTCTCACCACCCGTTATTGTTCTACTTATTTCTATTTCTTCTGTTAGTTTCACTGCTCCTTGTTTATTTTCGACATCTTTTCCTGTATTCTGCTCAGCAAGGAAATGAACAGAGTGTGTTGTTTCTTTCAAACTTTGTTCACAACATGCAGTACTTTGCACATCTTTTTCACTTTCTTCGATCCCTGATGCTTTCTTTGCCTCATTCACTTGTTTCACAAATTCAGGAATCATTAAGTAATTTGTCCGTAAAAACTCGTCCAGTGTTGGCCGAGAGGTAGCCGAGTACAGAGGTGAATTTCTGTAGCTTGCCTCCAAATGATGAGCTGGGGCGTCTTCTTTTGGCGCCTGTTTAGGCCATGCTTCTTCGGTTGAAGGAAGGAGGGCTGGAACCTTGGATAAAAGATTCTTCAAAGACATTGTAGGTCGTGAATCTGCCATAAACGTCTGCAAGAAACTACGTTCAAATACGTACAAATTTCCCAGATGTATCCGCCATTTTGTTTTGACTGCTGCTGCTGACCAGTAAGAAGCGGATACTCACACACGTGCTTTGTTTGACAGTTTGCTGACCAGTTCTTTCTCCAACAAGTAGTCAACTAATTTTGCTTTTGAACGCTGAAAACTCTCAAATAATGAGCGGGGGAGTGTATGGAGGAGGTAACAGTTTTGATTTTTATACAACATTTAAGTGTTTATACTTTCTTGAGCTTACGAAGACGCCTTTGTTTGTAGACGAAGTTGGCGCGATTGTGTTCGATGTTGGCGCCCAATCAGTCAGAGCTGGTTATGCCGGCGAAGATTGCCCCAAGGTACGTGTTATTTCCTTATTTTGTTTCCTTTTCTTTCCCTTCTGGTGATAAGGTACCTCGTCCGAATACATTTAAAAGCTTTTTTGGTCATGTTTTAAATCTTGGCGTGATATTAAGGTTTTGACACTGATGAATCATGGGAATTATTTCAGAAATAATAAATTGCCGGGAATTTCAAAGGCATTGTGTATGCAAAGTTTGCTGGTATAATGAAATGATTATGATAGTGAGTTAGGGAATAACGGTAAAGAACTGTATCCTTGCTGCTAATTACTACTGGATGGTACTTGATTTGTACAGAATAATGTCTATGTATGTCTATTTGAAACAGCAATTGCAAGGGATGTTCCTTATTAAAAAGTATCAGACTCACAGGTAGCCTAAGCTCTAGCTTGTTAGATCATTGTTTGGCCATCTTACCACAAATGGTAAACAGTTAACGGTTTAACATACATGTTCAACCCATCTTCCGTTATTCAGAATTTAAGGTTCGCGGATGGTAATTGTGGCTGCCATGTTTGTTTTCATTCATTAATTCATTCACTTCTATTTTAGCTGTGGAATCATCTTCAAAATTATGTTTCGATGAAAAAGAATGTAATAATATTAGTAAACAAAGGAGTTCTGAAGTACTCGTATAAACCTCTCAAAAAGTAGGATTGTGATGTTTAAGGGTGAAAACAACTTTTTGTAAATCACTTTATACCTCTCAAGCCTAGTCTAGCTGTACTAATATGAACCTCAAATCACAAACCTGACATCAAGGCACTGCTTACTTGACTTTTTAATGTTTGTCAGAAATGCCAAAAAGTCTCAATCTTAAGGTCGCTAATAAATATCATGAGTGTATCACACGATGTTTTTAGTATGACAGCTATTGCATTTGTATGGGAAGTTAGTGGCAAGTACTCTGTTGTGAATGCTTGGTATTGAAAATAATTGTCGACCTAGACTCCATTACAGGACTTTCACGAAACTGGTTGGCATGATTCTAGCAGTTTTATTCACCTTTTCAAGATCAATTTGTACCACTTTGTCTACCCGTTTTTAAGCATGCTATAATTGCATGTTGTTTTGTGTTATGTTGCAGTATGATGTTCCTACATTTATGGGAGTAGTAGAAGAAGAAACTAAAGAAGAAATCATGGAAACAGATGTTCCATCAGAAGGTACAACTACTACTCAATGTACTGTGTATTGTTAGGAATTTCATGGGGTTCCATAACCAAGCGAAAATAAATTTTAGGCCCCAATAGTTCAAAAGGTGGATAGGACTGTCCCATCGATTAATCTCTCCATTGGATCGCATTAGTTTCCCAAATACAAACGTACTTATCCACTGGATAGTGATATATCCATAGGAGAGCGCTAGCCAACCTTTGAACAACTGTTGTCAGATTATTGAAAACGTAATATGCAAAATTTGGGGGACAAACAGAGTGTTTTGTGTGAATGGGGGATTTGACAATAGTCTATGAAGTGTGGATTATCAAAAATTGTATTTATACGTACACTGTACTGTATGCACCTGTATGGAAAGCGTAGTAATATTGTCTGTAACTGGGTAATTATTTTATATTTTGTGTCTCAATGTGATCTGTTCTTTCTTTCATTCTTTTTTACGTTTTTTTTTGCAGAAAAGCCTAAAGTTGCGGAGAAAAAATACTTTATTGACACAAATAGCATCCATCTACCAAAAAGTAACATGGAGATGCTAAATCCTGTTAAAGATGGAATGAGTAAGTATTGAACATACATGTAGAAAAATACCGGATGACAGATGATCAATGATCATCAGACCATGTACCATCTTCCACTGAAGAAACACTCGTCCCCGAGGACTCCAAAAGCATTTGAGTTTTACTGGTTCCAAATTTGCAGCAAAACCCAAAATTTTGTGATCATTTCAACCGGTGGAACAGAAACTTGAACACGTTTACACTTTACCTCTGGATCCCCATGTATTGTATAAACATTGATTTGTGTCATCAGTACAGAATTATTTTGAAGCAGAAAATGCAAACATGTTATTCTTTGTAATGAAAATGTCCCAATAGCCAAAATAGAGTGGTAAAAAAGGCAGCTCTATTCGAAGGATGCACAGTGCATACACTGTATATCTTGTGCTGTACAGGTATGCTTTTCCTCAGTTGATCATTACCATTGTGGTCTTTTTAATCACACAGTTGAAGACTGGGACATGTTTGAGAAACTGTTAGACTACATTTATGCCAAGGACATCAAATCAGAATCAGGGCTTCATCCTGTTCTCATGTCAGAGGCCTCAGTAAGTGATAGAGACAACACAATACAAGTCATGTATAAGCAGCAGCGCCAATGGCAAGCTGATCATGAAGGGAGACAATCTTTGTGGTTTTTGCTTTGTTTTTTGTAATAACTTCCTTGTTAATACACATTTTTTTTGTGAGCCGATTATTTCAAAGTTAAAAGTTCTGTGCAAATTGGGACAATTTACGATCATTCTTGTTTTCATTGGTTATTTTTTATTCAGATTTATGTTAGTTATTATGATCAATAATAATTATAAAATAAGTTTCACACCTGGCTGTAGAAGGAACGTCTTCAAAAACCATATTTTTCCCTTTTGTCACATAATCTCTCGTACATGTACAATTGTTTCAAGGTTGTATCATAATTATTTATATATTATGCAAAGAGGGCTGCCACATGTTATGACATAAAGTTTGTTTTCTTACAGTGGAATGTCCGTCCCAAGCGAGAGAAACTCACAGAATTGATGTTTGAAAAGTACAATATCCCTGCATTTTTCCTCTGCAAAAATGCTGTGCTAGCAGCATTTGCTAATGGAAGATCAACAGGTCTTGTAATAGACTCTGGGGCAACACAAACCAGTGCTGTCCCAGTTCACGATGGATATGTTCTCCAGCAAGCTATTGTTAAGTCTCCTTTAGCTGGTGATTTCATCACTGCTCAGTGCCGTCAGCTGTTTGAAGAAAAGAACATTGAAATTGTACCACCTTACGTTATCGCCAGTAAGGTAATGTACAGTACTGCTGTAATCATAATCTAAGGGCAGTGATTTTGTTACCTCTGCATCCTACATCCCTGGTGACTAAAAATCCCCAATGACACAAAAATATTTGATGGCATGTATCCTGTAGGACGTAAAGGTCGATCGATTGATCTGAACATGTGTATTTATAGAAATATCACATTCAAGTATCTCTATCGATCTGTGGCAGTTATAAAATTTATAGCTGTTGTTTAAACAATGCATATTTCTTTCAGCCTTTATTCTACTTTAAAATAGAAGGACCATATTATTTTTAATTTCAGTATACTATAATACAGAGTTTTGGAGTCTGTCCTCAAGTTAACTGTCTGGTTTAATACATAAAGGCCCAAGCATTTTCAATTTCAGACTTGTTTTTTTTTTAACTGGAACTCATTGGTTCTGGAATGGAACTCATGATTTTTCACAAGATAAATCTCAGGACTCACCATAACTATTTGTAACAAAATCATTGAAGGGGCTCTGTACATGGAGAGAGGAAGATCCTAGCATCAAGAAAATCCTAGAAGGCAAATCATCTTAGTGCCATAATGTTTTCTGTATTCAGTTGACATGCAAAGGGTTGTACTTGGGCTACAATCTTCCTAGCTGAGAGGAAGAAAAATCTTAGCACCATGTGCTGGTAAACCACTTTTGATGGGAAAATCCTAGTACTAAGGACAAACGAGACAATGATCATACATACATGTATGTATCATGTATCATGTATCATGGCAATAATAGCCGACCATTTCATTTTGTGGTTAATTGCCATGAGCTGATAACTGTGATAATTCTGCTAAACAGTACATTGTAGTTATTAACACCTGTAGAGAGAGCTGAAGGGTACCAATTGCATTTTTGTTATTTTGCCTCCCTTCTTTAATTCGTCTTCTACAAATGTACTTGGTAACCACACAGACCAAAATTTCAGCATGTAAACCCACTGAAAGTACTGTTGTTCTGCCTCTTAGGATTTTCCTGGTGATAGGATCTTCCTCCTGCAATGTAAACAGGCCCTAATAATCAGTAGTGCCTTAATTGTGTGAAAGATTTGTATTTCTTTGTGCATGGGACAATCTGAGCATTGTGTGAATGCTGTTTTAGACAATAAGGGTATATGTGAGTGCTGTTGCCTCGGGCTCTTCTAGCTAAGGCATCTTTACTTCATTTAAATGGGGGCTATGGGTGAACTCGTCAAATTGAATTTCTTTCATGTAATGAGTTTTTACATGTAATTCATAGGAAGCATCAAAAGAAGGTGGACCAGCCATTTTTACCAAAAAGAACAGTCTACCCTCAGTTACTAAATCTTTCCACAGACACATGGTTAATGTAAGTACGTTATACACTGAGCCTGAAAGGTGTTTTATACTTTACTTGTATGACTAACAATTATTAACAAACTACCTACCTGTACAGTGCTACAAACTGTTCTAATGAGTCACAGTGTCTCTGCCAATGCTTTCATCAAGTCCTTTAAATGTGACCATTGTGCCCCATAACAATAGGCCACTTACATTAAGAGGTCATGTGACCAATGCTTCCTTTAAACAGGGCTTCTGATATTTCGTGGAAAAAAAAGCAAAATTTTGCGGGATTTTCAGGGAAAAATTCGCGGGAAAATCGGCCGATTTCGCGGGATTTTCGCGGGAAAAAAGTCAAAATTCGTGGAACAATTGGCCGATTTCGCGGGATTTTCGCGGGAAAAAAGTCAAAATTCGCAGAAAAATCGGCCCGTTTCACGGGATTTTAGCAGAAAAGAGTCAATTTTCGAAGGATTTTCAGGGCAAATAATTTCCTAAGAATTTCTTAGGAAAATCGGCCGATTTCACGAGAAATTTCGGGGGAAAACTTCGCCAAGAGACAATCAGTAAAAAACAGCCGATTTCGCTGGGTTTTTTTTGGCAAATTTCGCTAAAATCGATCAATTTTGCGTCGATATGACAAGCGTTGGTGAACGTTTTTTTTAACACGGATAATCATTATTTTGCTCTTTCAACAACACAGTTCGCTCGAGAAATGAACGCATGTTAAAGCTATCAACATTATGGTTAGTGCCCAGTTTTTCGCAACGTTCATCTAAAAACGCCTGGTAGTTTTGGGACGTTGTTTACTCGTTGCAGTGATGAAGTTTCAAGTTACATTTGGACGTTTGGGGTTAATAAAACCGGTCTAATAGCCAAGATAAGTATTAAATATGTTTTGCCGACATCTATCTGGAAATATTTCTGGCGGATTTCGCGGTATTTTGCGTTTTTTTGGGAATTTCGCGGGATTTCGTGGAAATACCTGAATTTCGCGGGTCCGCGACCGCGCGAAATATCAGAAGCCCTGTTTAAACAATGAGATGGAATCTTGCTGATGCCAAAACTTGAAAGAGCACACAAAAAGTATCTTTACACCCCAATTTTGAGAGGAAACACATTTAAGGGAAACATTTTATGGCACTTTGATTTTTTCAACGAAGTAGTATGATTTGTATTTGCCGCCAAGTTGAAGGGGATACTCTTGCCCTCCAACATGGTGGGGAGAACCACTTTTTGCTCGTATACTTTCTTGTTAAACATTTGATAGTTACGCTCAGATGTGCTCTAAATGTTACCACATCATCTTTTCAACATTTTTCCAGTGAAGTTTAAGTGCAAAATGTTTGTTTAAAAAGATGTAATTCCTAATTTTAAAAATCACATTTTAGTCACATGACCAGCTATGAACTTACTCATTTTAAGAAAAATGGTGCTGGCTTGAGAAACCAAATCGTTATTATTTTGTTAAAATATAACCCAGTAATCATTTTTTGAAGGTAAAATCATATAACTTTCATTTTCATAAAAATGATCACATGACCTCATAAAAACGGTTACATGACCTCTTTATATAGTGAAAATGGCCTATGGAAAAAAAAAGGAAATTCCTATCAAACTGGTTGTAGACTTAAGGATGGTTGAAATTTGATAAGGTTTAAGCATCTCTCGTAAGAGTCCTCCCTTTTTGGACTGGGACTTGATAGTTTTCAAGAGATGACTCTTAGAGCTCCCTACAGCATAAATTCTGCAACACTCAGATGCAATCTTTGTTTTGCCTTGTAGTATAGTATTGTTGATGGGTACCTGTATGTTTGACTAGAGTACATTAAGTAAGCAGAAGTTCTGTTTGTGGGGGTGCTTGTGTGTTTTGCTGTATGTTTTATTAAAATTATTATTGTTTACTGATAGATAACAATCTACTTTGTTTTTGTAGGAAACTATCCAAGATTTTCAAGTCAGTGTCCTTCAAGTCTCAGATGGCCCTTATGATGAAGGGTTAGTCTTGTATTGCTTTTTCAGTGTCCTTTGCAATGTTTGATCCAATCTCTATCATCAGGTTATGGATATCATACCATTTTGTCTTTTCCAGTGTTCTAGGTAATATTCCAGGAGTACTCTATGAGTTTCCTAATGGCTATAACAACACATTTGGTGTGGAGAGATTTAGAATTGCAGAGGGACTTTTTGATCCTTCAAATGTTAAGGTTAGTCAGTGAAAAATTGCTCAATTGTTTTATCATATTGCATGTTTGAATACTTGTCTGAAGCATAAACTGTCATAAATAACCGACAGTGCAATTATGCAGTGGAGAATAATATTCAATGAAAGAGAGTGATCTATTGAATCAGGTGAAATTAATATTCCTTGTGCCAGCTTCCAATCATGTTTGCATGAAGCAAAACGTGTGTAAGTATCTTAAAATATCAGTGCTCTTTTCAATGCTCTTATGTTGTCTGTGATCGACAAACAATCAGGTAGCCAGTTCAAACCAAGAGGGCACTTGGATTGTTTTCCTTGGATTTAGCTTTGAGCAGATCTCATCATCTGCCTTGTTTGACTATACAGCAAGTTGTTAGAAAATTGTAACAAAATTATTATTTGTTTGAATTTTAAGCTAATATTAATTATGTCCTTACTGATTTCTGTCAGGGCATTGAAGGTAGTACGGCCATTGGAGTCACACAAGTTGTTACCACTAGTGTAGGAATGACTGACATAGACATAAGAGCAGTAAGTTGAATCTACTTGTCAAATGTGGAAGCGTTGAGGTAAAGTGTAGGTCAATAATGCCAGGCCAGTAAACAACATTTTTTTTCTAAAATTGTGAAGGGTATGAACCCAGGAGTCATGTCATAAGCAGGGTGAGTATGACCTCTGGGTGAACGTAGACCTGAATAGGACTGTTGTAACGAACTGTCAGTCACTGTCAACAACACTGTTGTTGACAGTGACTGACAGTTTGACAACCTGTGCAGTAGTCATCTTCAGAATCTTACATTTTTCCATGGTAAATGCATGAAGGACAGGGCAGAAGTAAAAAACCTTTTAGGAATAAAGACTGTATGTACTCTTGTTAGCCAATGATTTGCTGAGTACACTGTTTGCCATTTTTCTCTCAGGGTTTATTTGGCAGTGTGATTGTGACTGGTGGTAACACTCTTCTTCAAGGTTTCGTTGAAAGACTCAATCGTGAGCTTCTCACCAAGACACCTCCTGTAAGTATACATGAACTATGTTATGCACTTCAAGGGAAAAAGGTTTCTTGTTTTTGTTTGTCTGTTTGTTTTGTTTTGTTTTAGATACAAAAGGCAGATTTCATGTGTTTCTGATTACCATGCTCTTGCTAAGTAAGAATCAGATTCTAAGGATTTTGCCTGGCTACTTAAAACCTGAGCCAATAGTAACATGAAACAAAGAAAATTTCAGATCTCTGGCTACTTTGCTATTTTCTATAAAGTTTAGTGACAGATCTGCGTCCTCCCGCCACCTCTCTCCCCTTTCACCTCTTATCCCTGCCACCCTACAGTCTTCCTTTGTCATAATAACAAATGAATGAGTTTCTTAATCGTGTACAAAACGTACGCATGACTATTTGCAGGGCCACTAAGTTTGTAAACGTGGCAGATACTTTAAAAGAAGTCTATAGATGTTGGAAAAAAACTTAGCTACCCAGCTCTGTGTTTGCAAACACATACGTTATTTCTAAGAATAGCTGAGTGGTCGAGGGGTAAGGGAACACAGGTCACCATCACAGGTCACCTAATTACTTCAGTGGAAAAACGCGACTTGTGCTGTTGCAGCCACGTAGATATCTCCGGCTGGTCTCCTAACAGTTAGAATTCTGGGCCCAGTTCTATTCTATCCTATTCTAATCACTATTCTATCCTATTTTGAGCGTCTGGATCTCGCGGTTGAAGCTTAACATTGCATTTTGAGCCCTAGTTACATGTTCCTAGACAAGGCAACTTCGCTTAAAATTTGGCTTTATTCTGTCATTAAACTTAACCATCTCTCGAGAAACCGAATTGAGAGACGGGGGTAAAAGAGACAGTTTTTGTTGACTAATCTCTTGATGTTTTGTTTGTTTGTTTGTTGTTTTTATTTTTTCATAGAGCATGCGTCTAAAACTGATCTCTAATAACACGCCCATGGAGAGGAGATTTAACCCATGGATAGGCGGCTCAATTCTGGCCTCACTTGTAAGTTCAGAATTTTTTTTTTCCTTTTTTTATGTGTGTGATAAAAAAGGAGAAGAACGGTTATGCAGGAAAGCGATGATACCCTATCGCCTTGTTGTCTTCAGTTGTTATCAAAATGGTAAAGGCCATTGAATTATTAACTAAGTAGGTACGGACTTCAATATTTATTAACCTGTTGGATGGGCGTTTTGAGATGCAAGCAAATGGGATAAAGCCTCACTTTTTTGGTTTTTTTTTCTTGTTTCGCAACAAATAAATCACTTTATGGATGGCCCACATTGCTGTCGGTTCCGTGATGTTTCGTTTTATATAAACGGTAAAGTATTAAGAAAACTGCCCTATTCTACCTCACTGCAGAGTCACATGAGATGTGCAAAAGCGTTGCTGACCAGTACTTTGTGTCTCGGAAACTTAATTTGGTAATTTTATCTGACCCCGATTCTTTTTTAGGGTTCGTTTCAACAAATGTGGATATCTAAACAAGAATACGAAGATCAAGGAAAGGGGTGCGTTGAAAGAAAGTGTCCCTGACTTCTCCGCCATGTAAACTAGTGATACAATGTATTATAGCGTAGTGGACTCATTTCAGCTCCTTACTATGTAAAGATGGGGCCGTTTTGGACTGCCTCCGCCGCTTATTTGATATCGCGGACTCCCGAAGAACAGTGTGCCCAGATGACTCGTTTTTATTCAGTGGTTTCGTGGTAACGGTTTATGAAGCTGAAGTCTTCACAGACTTTTTTAGTACTATTGAACTACATGCATGAAGCCAATTTTCAATCTGTTTTTAAACCGAGTTTGAACTACTTCTCCTGTTTGTTTATCGTTCTTGTGCTTTAGTCTTTAGTCTTACTAGAGCATTCAATAGGGCCATTTATACGAGAAAAAATAAGACGCGTCTTAAATAAGACGCGAACTGCACCAATTATACGAGTATGTCTTATCTAATAAGACGCGTCTTAGCTAAGCCGCGTCTTATTTTAGACGAAATGTGCCGTTTATACGGAAAGTTCGCGTCTTATTTAAGACGCGTCTTATTTTTCCTCGTGTAAATGGCCCTAATATAGTTAACCTGGCAACCTCTCCGAGTCCGCTTTGCGGCGTCAGGGCAAACCGAAAGGCACAACTCTTTTCATGTAAATATACTTAAGTCAAACCTTAAAACAAATAAAACAGGAAAGAACAATTTTGTCACTGTTTGTTATTATAGTTTCTCCTTTAAATGGCGACGTTGACCTCAGTGCGAATAAACTAACACAGGTTTCTGTGCTCCTACCTTGAAACGAAGGGTGAGACTGGGGTAGCCTGAACCACCTTGGGTTTTTCCGCGTTATAAATAATACTTAGCAAAGATAAAACGTTTAATAACAACGACGACAACAACAACAAAAACACTTTATTTATACACGGTAAAAGAAAAAACAGAATTACACAAGTAATTGTCATCCGGGCACTGCCAAAATAAGGAAAATGTATTTTGCTAAAAAGCTCATAACCTCATGCTAGTTATTACGTCATGTTTCGTGTCCAATAGGCCATTTCCGAGTTCCAAAACCTCTCATTTTCAAAACGAGGTTAAGTGCAAAACCTTTCTGTGATAATGAGTTTCATTTGAATGAGAATGAAAAATGATTTTCATTTCAATGGCTTCGCACTCAGTCTCGTTTTGAAACAGAGGCTTGGGCAATTCGGAATTGGCCTATTGGACCCAGCTCGCTCGGGGGGGGGGGGGGGGGGGTGGTGTGGAGTGGAGGGTGGCGAGTGGGGAGATGGGTGGGGGGGGGGGGGGGGGTGGGGCGAGGGGGGTGAGAGAGAGAGAAGGGGAGAGCCTGTAAGCATCTTAAATACCTTAGTCTGCCCACTGCCCCTCCAACTTCCAGGAAAACCGTTTCTCGTGTCAAAAATGTCATATGTGCGGTGTATGAGGGTTTCACGCATTTGTTGTGTTTGTTTGACTCTGTATGCGAGAAGCCAAGTGTTGACGTACGCTGTCAAAATAACAGATCTTGCATCGTGGGGTACACCTGATTAAGGTACAACCTCGTTCTCAGGGTTCAGGAACTTGGGAACGAGGTTGAATGAGGTATATTTCAATACTCCCTGTCTCTCCTTAGTCGCAATCCGGGTTTTAGCTCAACTTTTCTCCATTTGCTTTCCCTCAGATTATCTTGGAGCGTGAGACAGGCTAAGTGACAAAGGAGAGAAAGAAGAGCGCAAGCCTGAGAACCAGGTTGAAACCCGCCTTCCATTCACATTGAAAAATGCAACTTCAACTTGTTTGAGTTTCCACCCAGACAAAACATCTCGACTATAGCTTCGGTGGATTAGGGTGGCCCGAACCTATTTATATGCGTGTTGGTGATGTTTTTAAATCGCGTTTCTCGGCAGGAAAGATTTGACCGATTTCTATGATTTTTGTCATCCTTACTAAAGAATGGTCGAACTTTAAGAAACTGATATTTATTTTCTTGTAGGTATAAAAACGTTCCAGATAACGGCATATATTTAAAACCGCATTTTTACAAAAAATGTCAATAATAGCTCATTTTCTTTTGCGAAACCCCAAGACAGATTTTTCTCTAACTTCAGCAAATAAGCCTTAGAGCTCTTTAGTTTCATATCTGTAAGTTTGAAGTCAATCGTGACCGTAGAACTCGCTGCACAAATAGCCTGTCAAATTTAACCTAAAAATGCAACACTAACACATTTGTGAAAGTTGACGCACAAATAGAGGAAAACTGCCGACGGACTATCTCCTACCTGCAAGGGTATTCTTGCCCAAAGCTTCAGTTGCAAGAAACTGGGTAATCAGAAACCTGCGGCGAATACAGTTAGCAATACAAAAAGAACAACTTTGTGCTGAATGCGGGGCAAGATTAAAAAACTTCCATTCATCAAACTTACTTTGTAATTGTCCCTCTCTTTTCGAAATCTATCTTAACAAGGCAAATTATAGCATCTACGAAAAACTGTCAAGAGTTTTAGTGTCGCAGGTTTCCGTTTTGAGGAGAAATAAAGGTACCAACTCCAACACTTCTAACCCTCTATTTTTCAGCTGCACTGAAAGCCCTTGTACCTGGTGATTTATTCAAGCTTTTTAGACTTGAGATCACATTTGCACGGGAAGTTTGCCGCTTGGGGACAAAGATGAAGAAAATATGACAATCATCTTATTCTTTTCATTACCCCAAGATGCAGACCGCCCGTGCGAATGTGATGGCAAATCTTTCAAGCTTGAATAAATTACCTAATGCATCAGTCAATTCCAGCTGCGCCCAGCCCCACCTCCCCCCGCCCAGCTGACCCCCGGGCATTAGCATTTTTTTTGCCTTGGATGGCAAAATCCCGGGGGTGGGGACTCTTGAGCTGTCAAATCCCCCGGGGTGCGGACGAAAAAAGAGGGAAAATGTCAAGTCCTCCGTCAACACTGCAACATTTTTCATTGATCGCACAGTCGAGTAATGCCATTTTGCGATTTGTGTTTCAATTAACGCCTTCCTTTGTAACAGTGTTATCCTAATTAAGACTTCACGCCGTGACGACACCAGTTTATGGTTTTTTAGTATTGTTATAAAATTATTGAAATTAAAATTAATAGTGCGCTGTTAAAGTTAACTGTTATGAATAGTTTTACAAATATGAAAGGATTTTCTTCAATAATATCAACAGAAATTTGATTCAATAACCAAAAAAGTTGATTCACCTCGATTAAGCTACCGATTTCGCTATGTAATTCTGGCTTGATAAGCAATGAAGAAATGCATGCATAAAATCGAGAACATGCCTTTACAAACTTCTTCAATTTTTCCCCGTCCTTGGCAAATGAGCCAATCTGCTTGTTTTTCCAGTAAAATCTTTTGTGTAGTTAAATTCTGATAGGAAATCGCGTACGTGTCAAAAACTCAGGGTTGGCACAGTGCAGCCCAAAATTTGCAAATGCCCCTCCCCCGGGACTGACAAGGCGAGCAAATGCCCTGCAGCTAGGGGAGAAAGGGGGCGGGGGGAGGGGGGGTTGGGGGCTGGGCGCAGCTGAAATTGACTGATGCATAATACAAGAAGGGTTTTCGTTGCAGCTGAAAATGGATCGGTTGAAGTACTGGAGTTAGGAGCTTTATTTCTCCTCAAGAGGGCAATCTTCGGTGCTAAAAACTGGTAAGAGATTTCCGTAGATGTTATATCTTGCTTTGTTGAGATTAGTTTTTCGAAAAGAGAAGGGCAAATACACAGTAACTTTGATAAACAGATGTTCGCTCATCTTGCCCGCATTCAGCATAAAGTTGTTGTTCTTCTTGCATTGCGAACTGTATTCGCTGTAGGTTTCTGATTACCCAGTTTCTTTCAACTGAAGCTTTGGGCAAGAATATCCTTGCAGACAGGGGATAGTCTGTCAGCAGTTTACCTCTATTTGCGCGTCAGCTTTCACAAATGTGTTAGCGTTGCATTTTGAGGTTAAATTTGACAGGCTATTTGTGCAGCGAGTTCTATAGTCACGATTGTATTTAAACTTGCAGATATAAAACTAGAGAGTTCTAAGGCTTATTTGTTGAAGTTAGACAAAAATCTGTCTTGGGGTTTCAAGGTTATTGACATTTTTTGTAAAAATGTTGTTTAAATATATGCTGATATCTAAAACATTGTTATACCTACAAGAAAATAAGTAACAATTTCTTAAAGTTCGGCCATTCTTTGGTAAGGATGACAAAAATCATAGAAATCGGTCAAATCTTTCCTGCCGAAAAACACGATTTTAAAGCATCACCACCGCGCATATAAATAGGTTCGCGCCACCTTAAAAATGTTTTAATAGTGGACTGAAATTTATCTCACGATTCCTTGGCTTAATGTTAACTTGAAACTCTTGGCTATTATGTACAAATAAGATCTAACCAAGTACGAAGTCAAAAAACTGTTTTTAACTAAACTTCTTAATAGGGTTCGTGTTTTATGAATTAAAAAACTGCCCGCTATGCCCCGTGTTTTAAAGTTGATTAAACACCTCTACTAATAACCATGCAATAGTGCATATTAATAATGCCAACAGTTAATTGTAGTAACATGTAATATCCTCCATCTACAAAACGAAGGATGCAGTATTCCTCACTGAAAACAAATGATTATATTTTACCGTTAGACGTCACGGATGAGTCTCAGGGTTAAACATATTCACTGACCAGCTCGTTTAAGTTCTCTTAAGCAGCCTATAAAAGCAGGTGCTTTTGTTCATGTAGTCTATTTTTATATTTAGTTTTTCATTTATTCAGGTGTCATTTCTGCCTTCTGAATTAAAACTGGACACTGAAATTTCTTTGATCTGGTATTTTTTATCATCTTTATATTCACAGGTAGTTATTACTGTTTTTTTAAATTTCACTCATAAAGTGAACGAAAACCCTTTAAAATCACCTGGTTGGAGATATGATTAAAGAAACAAGTATCCATATACCATAAGGAGCGGAGTTAATGGGTACAATATTGACAGGAGTGTATATTGCAGCTCAATATGTCATTGGTTTAATTTTCATTTCCGTTTCTTTTTGGGCATGGTAATATATGACAATGAGTTTGAAACAAAGGAAAATATGTAACCACAACATATATTTTAAGATAAACACGGGTTGGACGCCAGTGCTAAAGCTGACAAGCAGAAGTTTTTGAAGTGAAACTGCGGAAAGCCTTTGTACCCGATTTAAAGGTTCTTACGAATATCCTATGAAATAATCTTCTCACAAGGTAAAATTGTCTTCCATGTTTTGTAAGAGTCACTTAGAGTTTTCTTTTCACATATTTAAGGTCCTTTCATTTCACCACTGGTGA